GGATTAACAAATTGATATCTTATCGTAATCAAATAAAAACTTCCGAGAAATTACAACAAAGACATTGTACTAGTCACATAAAAAAACTGACGGCCGAACTTCAACTGCATCATTGTACGTGCATAAAAAAATAATTTAGGTCCCCAAGATCAGCTAGAGAAATCCTATTAAATAGTGTTTTGCCATCAAAATCTAAATTCATTATTGTCTGGCTTAAATCAAAAAGATCTGATAATCCTGTAGAACTGAAAAATCTACGAATTAAATCGGTAATAACAGTAAATGGTTTATTTGATAACCACCAAATCGATATTAAAATCATCAAAATAATTGAGAAAGGTTTTTCCAACTATGAAGAAAAGCGAGTAGCTGCGGCGTTTCATCTAATGCTACGTCCCTCTGCCTTCAATAGAAAGAGAAGCATGACTTGAACTGTTTATCCAAACGGCCACATTTGATTCTATTCATTCCTGACACAAAAATTACAATTTTACTTATAACAAATTTCACACTTTTCACACCCATCGTGTACACAACTGTAAAAAGTGATGCCTCATACAAATTCATCTTGACTGAAAAGACATGACGCTGACATAATCAGACTTTTCTTTATTTTAACTGGACTGAATATTCTGCCTTGATCCTCTCTACTATTTAAACATGCCAGTTTCAATCCAGTTATTTGTTAAAAATTCAGATTTTACCTGGTATATCAGCAATACATCATTATTTTATTTATACAATTGGTTCCTTTTACGAAACTGATGGATTGTGTGTCAATTATAAACGATTTAAAGTGTTTGCTTGAGTTTCAGACCACTTAACAATAAATTCAAAAGATAGAGCGATGAGGTAGTAATTGTCTAGAGTTCGATATTAATAAGTTGGGTTGCCTTATAACTATACTAGATTTTAAAAATTTCCATAAGTTCGGAGAATTGAATGTGGGAAAAAGCAGACGAATGAAAGGTTGACTTTAATATACATGAAATAACTTCTGGTTAGCAAAGATTGCATAAAAAACTAGACAAAATAAAATAATGATGGTAGCTTTAACAGCAGTTGTCGTTGATATAAGTCAAAATCGTGGACTTACCAAGGCAATGGTAAATTGGTTACCGTTGTGGTGTCTGTTACCGATGTCGATAGAAGGTTATTTATTTCAACACATAGATATTGGTACAAAGAAGCACCAAATACATATGCGCCACACAAATCTCATTCGATATGTGTGAAGGCTGTGGTACTGCCCGGATGCCCAAATCGAAGCAGGTGGTTTCCTTAGACGGCCACACCCTAAGGGTCTGATCCACAAGACAGTGGAGCATCGTAAGGAGATGCAGTCCCATGGAAGCCGGTGACCAACAATTGGTTCATACGCCATTTGTTCCCGCAGGATACTGGAGCCCATGTGCACCATTGGTTTGGAATCCGGTTAAAGCACCGGACATTCGCTTTTCGTCCATTTATTTTCGTAAACAACAGTAATGCCACGAGAAGGCAGTGAGTAGGACTTCCCTGGCAGAGGCTATATACGCGTGGCCGTGTGAGAGTATTTCGAGAGGGAGAGCGGACTCTCCCCACTCTCGGCCGTACCAGGGCATTTGGGGGCTGAGACGATTGATTGACATTTACAAAGGGATCAGTTAAGTTTGAAACAGTTGCAAATTAAGTATTTAGTGTATGGTTCTCAGATATTACTAATATGTTCTGTAATTTTGTGTTCAAATACTTTCGATTGTCCCCACTCGTGTTCCAGTTCACTACACTCTTTCTGGATACAAATCTGGTTTCAATTTTTGAATTACCACTGCTTCGCTGAACCTAAGAGAAATTGCATCTTTTTTATTGATAATTTTGAAGAATTTGGAAACGTCAGTGACACTCCAAGTAACAATTAAATTGAAAGCAATTGCACTGTTTAGAGCCATTGCATCTCTCAACCGCAAATTCGTTATCACATGTTCGGAAGTGCAAACATTATTTCATTGTCAGTAAATAAAATGGGATAACATATTAATGCCTGTGAAAGTCCGCGAATCTTTGCATAAAGTATCTGCTTTTAAGCAGACACAGGCGACATAATCGTATTCTGTTATAAGTCGAAGCAGATCATTGAAGTTCTAATTTGAGATATTCTAATCGATAATCCTATTTCGCATCACAGTTGCAACAAGTTTCTTTATCTTGCACAGCGATACTGCCCTTTATGAATTGTGTTACCTTTAAAATATGCTTTAGTTTTCATGTTCACTGACCATGGAACTTGTCTCAACTTATAAAAGTTGCAAACGGACTCGATAATAACTCTAAATAGCAAATTCGTTCTTAATTTTTATCAACATGGGTAATATTTGAATCCTCCATATTAGATATGGTTATAGGTCACTGACATTCTACGTGGCTTTCTTCGTTTATCTTTACAATTATTTTTTATTTATTACTATAACGACATCGAATATGTCACAATGCATCAGTTTTCCGATGATTAAGGGTACACCCTACTGACGAGTGCCAAGTAGCACGAAACCTGGGTCCAGGGTTTTCTGTTGACCACCTCCAACCACCATCTTACACCTCAATATAGTTCACGCGATGTTGCCTAAACCAATGGCCATATTACAACTTGATCGACAGAATTCGGTCTGCATTAAGAAGGATATGACATGCATGACGTAAGTCACAACCCAGTGATCAATCTGTTGTGAACTCCCATAACTTAAACTGGATCTTTTTAGCTTTTTGTGTCAGTTCAATTAGCGAGACGATATATATTAGTTTAGTCAAAGAGGTTAGGTTAGTAATTTTTCGAGATGCTGATTCCCTAAATACCGACTAAATGGTTATCAGAAGAGATATTGTTAGGGAGCTAGATTTATTACTTATATACATAATATTCGACCAATGTAATACGACTAAGTTTTTAATTAATTGGTGATTAATCTTATGTGGGAATTAAAGTTGCAGAATCAGTGAGTTCACACTTCTTGTTATTTCTTTAGTGTCATGCTATTATTCAAAGCTTCGAATGTGGAAAAGGTTGGATACTAATGCTCCTAGTATAATATCATTTTATTTTCGAATTTTTGTGTGTAAAAATATTGCTCTTGATTGTAAGATGCCTTATTAATTCGATTGAGTACAGTTTGCCTCAGTTCGTAGTTTATTTGCTCCCATTCTGGATATCAATTCTTTGTAACATCTTAGACTTCATTTGGTGTATCGCTTACACAAAGTGATAATCATAATTATTATTTCATTCATTCAAAACTTTTCTGGAGATTACTTTTCCATGTCGCTCGCCACATACGTGACCTTATTATTGTTAATCTTAATACCTTGTTTCTTGTGCGTCCAATATTGTTTTTCTACGGAGAAACGTGGGAAATTTTATCTATGGGCTTTTACAATGTTTCATACTGTTTCTAAGACTTAAGTCAATATGTTATCATTGATCAGTTGAAAATTTGTAAAAACAAATTTTATTATTTAGTTGTAAGTAATTTATATTCAAAATTCTTAGTGTTTAAAAAAAATAATTTCTTAGATTCCTGTTAATAGCATGTGATGGTCTGTGGAAAAGTTTCCCTCCGAATGAAGCTGTTCATCTCACTCATGAACTTTTGATGCAAGAGATTAAAAAATATGAAAATGAACACAGAGAATCACAAAATGGTCAAGTAAGTCAAGTCGCTTTCGATTTGTGATTACCATCACATGTATCTTGCTTAGTTACGGGATTAAGTGTTAGTGTTTTTGTCTCCAAAAAATGTCTATCACTTCTTGTAAACGTTTATTAAAGTGACACACCAACAGACGTTTTGTTAGTTTGTTTTCTTTTAAGCACAATGGTTTATATTTTTCAGTGTTTCAAATTTGAGCTAGTCACTCATAAAACTGTCACGAATACTCACATCCTATCTAATCACAATGTTTCTTGTTTAAATCAAGATGAAATGTTATTTCGTGATGTAAAGATATTAAACATAATGAGGTCCGAGGGTGGGACTTACAATCGTTCAAAAAAGCTACATTGCTCAGGTGCGTTTAGAAATGTTATTTGTGACTGACAATAAAAATGACTTTTCTACATTTCGTACACTTCAGTAAAGATGGCAGTCATTTAAGAAACGTTTGCCTCAACTGGGTTTAATGTAACCTATTTATCAAGTGTGAGTTTGTGGGCTCACCGTTGCATCATGCTTTATTGAGGGTTAGTGATACTACCTGGCCCCTTAAACTGAAGTAGATGTATCAGAGTTTAAATCTGGAGGGTTGCTATTGAGTGTCTATTGTCTTAGTGAATAAGTTATTCTTTTAGTGACACTGCCTGAGCTACATCCAAATTCTTTTATTTATTTACAAATACCGTTTTAATTGTTTCAGGATGCTTCATCGTAATCTTTTTTTTCTCAAAAAATTGTAGTGTACTGATTATTCTCAGATTTTGTGTCAACGGCACCTGGACTCAGTATGTACGCATTTGGTTAGTGAAGCTGTTCTTCGTATGTCAGGTGATAATGTGACCTGCATTTTGTTGGTTTTTCCAACCATGTTTGTCAAAAAGCATCATTCTACTGATCTCCCAGGACATCTGTCTATCAGTCATGAAGAAGATTCTTTAGAGCCGCGTTCCAAATTGCCACGGATTGAAAAGTGATGTGAGCTAAGATCTCGGAATTTATTTCTCAAACTTGCAATGTCGTGATTCCACAAATGCTTCTCTTCCAGTACTTTATTACTATCGAAATTTATAATCTTTCTTTGTATGTGTTACATTTATTGTTTTATGCAAATAAAGCTTTCATGAAGTATATCTTATACCTTATTCATTATGAAATTATTGATCCTTTCCATGTCAGGTGCTCAATGTTGATTTTTTTGGGTATTGTAACAGGAGAATACTTTGGTAGCAACATATCTGAGTGAAGATGTCAAATATCCAGATTTCTATTTCAAGTAGTATTATCTTGATTATTATTATCTTGTTTAGCTATCTTATGAAAAACCAACTGTGTATTTTTGACTCTTGGATTACTAAAAACTGGCCAGCATGTTTTTCATGGCGTTCCCCTGACGGACTGATTGACTTTAAAAAAATATTTGAAAATGTTCCAGGTAGATCATAATCAGTGTGATATTTTCAGATGAGAAATTATGTGTTTCTGATTGTTCTGTAATCGAATTCAACACACATCCTGTTCGTGAAGTCACTGTTGAAGAATTTATTTCGTATTGGACTAATAAAGCTCAAGGAAAAGATGATCGCATTCTATATTTGAAAGATTGGCATTACTTTAAAAAAAGTTCAGAAAACAGTTGGTTCACGTTACCCGAATATTTTTCTTCTGATTGGTTAAATGAATTTTGGAGCCTACGAAATGATCTCTCTGATGACTTCAAATTTTTATATTTAGGGAGTCATGGAACGTGGACACCTTTTCACGCTGATGTGTACCGTTCTTTCAGTTGGTCTGCCAATATACTTGGCCACAAGCGTTGGTGGATTTTTCCTCCTGGTTGGTCTCTTACAATAAACTTTTCGTCTAGTTAAGAGCGTCATTGTTTATGTACCAAACTAAAGTCCCTGACAAAAATCTCATGAGTTTTAAATCTTTAAATACGAATATATAGTCCAAATAATGGTTTCAAACTGGATATCAACATATATACCGGCCATATTCTTGGTTCGGTTGAGTTCTTAGATGGTTAGTTGAATGGTACAATACTGTGTAGTATTGCCAGAAAACTTTCAAATGGTTCTCTTCCAATTCTGCGCGTACACAGAGTAGATGTGAGATTGATTGCTTTCGATAACTATTTTTATTGCATTCTATATAGGTCAGGAGGGTTTTGAAACCATTTACTTTCAAGTCATGCGTTCACACATTTACGGAAAGAGGTTAAATAAATATCATAGTTTCTCGTCTGAATTATTTAGATCAAACTCGTTTGATATGTGGAAATCCTTGAGGATATAAATCGTAGTTAAAAGGGAATCGGTGTTTGTAGACACGTAGCAATATGTTTTGAAGCCGATTCTCATCTTACGGTTTTTGTTTTTGTCTACTCCTGTTAACTTATATTTCGAATTTTGTGATAATGATTAAATTCAGTGCATAATTGTACATGGATTGTTTTTCCTCTGTTTAAGGTGAAGAAAAAAAGCTCTTATCATCCAACGGACAAATTCCTTTTGATATACGCTCCATTATAAAAGACAGGACAGATGTGAAGTATTATTTAGTCGACCAATATTCTGGACAAGTAGTTTTCGTACCTTCTGGATGGTATCATCAGGTTGTAAATATGGTAATAATAAATATTTTCTCTTGATAACCATAATATTAGGGCCATCTAGAAGGGTCTAGAATTTTTAATCCATACTTGCTAGTGAATGATTTCATCCATTATTTTCTTTATAAATATATGCTTTCTGTGTAACGACCAAATTAATAAATAAAAATATTAATTTTCTGTTATATTTCGGATATTTCTAAATGAACGCCCTATAAAGTCAATTGGAAGATAGGACAGTAGAACAACCTAATTTTTCACTCAATCGAAACATTACGAAGTGTGCAATTTTTCGAGCACATTTAGGATGTTTTCGAACTCTATTTCCCACTTCATCAATGCAGAACATTACTCCAGAATTGGTGTACATTCGGGTATAATTTAAGACAAGAGAGATAACTGTTTCGGTTTGTAATCTACTTTACTTACTTTGACTGTAGTGTTGTGTAGTCCGCTTTGTATTCTCAAACAGTACGTTTAATCGAAGTTCCTGATGTTTATCATGAATTATTTATTTTAACAAAATCAAACCAAATAATCAGTTGTTCTTCTGAGTTATCTCCAAACACAACTCTACTTTTCGTTCATAGTGAATAAGTATGTTGCCATATCGTAGTACTTCCGCAGTTCTGTTTCAGTTTTTTGTATTTATTCTTTGTAATCATCTTTATGCAAGAGCTGTTAAAGTGTAGTTGACTTTTTGTTTTTATGTATGTACAGACTGATTGTATATCTATAAACCATAATTGGTTCAATGCTACAAATGTAAGTCATGTTTGGGATCATTTACAAGATCAATTGAAAGCTGTTGAAGTGTCGACTAAAGACGTATCTTCTATTCCTGGATGGCATGAAGAGTGTCAGGTAACTATCTTTGATTAACTTAATACTTAACAAAATGTCTACTTTTATTATACAACCGCCTGCTTTGTCAGACACAAGCCTACCAACCACGTATACGGCCATAGGTCACACTTGTTTATATTGCCTGACATTGTTATTTGTATGTCAAGCTGCTTTAGTAAAAGGGGTAAAGTTAAACAACTAAAGCTAGATGAATCAATAATTACGAAATATAAAAGTCTGCAAGGAAAATTAGCACATAATCAAGTGATACATTTTTTTATGAAAAGAAGCTCATTTGTTTATAGTTGTTGTTAAAAGATAATTTCATTTCTGATGAATATATGCATATCCAACAGGTTTGTGGAAATTGTAGCTATTATCTCCATAAGTTCATTACTTTGGCAATACTGTGGTGTGAGCTACTTATATTGACATAAGTAGTATATAACGTGCGTTAAAAGAACGTAATGCTCGGCAGCAAAAGATGGCGAAGACCAAGAAAGGTGGAGCAAGAACATAATGGAATTTGTAAGAAAACTTATGAACAATGGAATGGGAGACAATGGATTAGTGTTTGCAGCTTGAACAGTACAGTTTGATATGATGTATTGATAATTTGCAAATTGACGATTGACTTTATGGTATTCAGATTTTGTTGAGATAGTCTGTAATTTTCGAGCTAAATACATTCGATTGTCCCCACCCGTGTTCTTGTTCACTACATTTGGTGTCGCTGCCAACCGGGAGAGGAGGAGGGTGCTGTTCTGCGGACGCCGTTGCGGGCCTGGAGTTGAGGTGCCAGTTGGAGCAGTCTGGTGCGGAGAGGTGCCGTCTGGTGGAGTGTTCTGGCGGGGCGGCGTTGGCTGTAGTGGATGCTGTCGGCGGAGAGGAGCGGTGGGACGCGCGGCTGCTGGGCGGACATCGAATGTAGATGGCTCGGCAGGCCGGTGGAGTGCGGGTGTTAAGCGTCCCAGGTGCCGGGTGGATGTCGGTTGTTGCTTTCCCGGCAGGTCGATGGAGCTACGGAAGTCAGCGCCCCGCAGACTCGACATTTTGACGGAGAGCGTGGCACAGGCTGCAGAGACGGAGAATGTTGCACGGCGAGCACGAACCACCACAAGAACGACTGCTTTAAAGGGGGGGACGAGTGTGGTGTGAGCTACTTATATTGACATAAGTAGTATATAACGTGCGTTAAAAGAACGTAATGCTCGGCAGCAAAAGATGGCGAAGACCAAGAAAGGTGGAGCAAGAACATAATGGAATTTGTAAGAAAACTTATGAACAATGGAATGGGAGACAATGGATTAGTGTTTGCAGCTTGAACAGTACAGTTTGATATGATGTATTGATAATTTGCAAATTGACGATTGACTTTATGGTATTCAGATTTTGTTGAGATAGTCTGTAATTTTCGAGCTAAATACATTCGATTGTCCCCACCCGTGTTCTTGTTCACTACAATACTATGGCTTATAACATTAGAATAATAAACGTCTTTTTGATAGCATATAAGTTAAAAAACTTAGCCGATACATAGTGCCTGATGCCTTCAGTAAAACAAACCGATAGGTGAATGACGCTAGTTAGAAATTTTAACATAATATAGGATTAAACAAGACATGCACTTTTACTGACGAAAACTACATTTCTTGTGTATTAAAGAATATAATATTGGCAGTAACCAAACATTATGATAAAGTTAGTCATCAAGAAAAGATCATTTTCTTCTGATGTCGTCTTATAAGGAGCATTATTTCATTAGAGAGATTCCTTTCAGATACTATTACTCCAACTTCCTAGTTCGTCATAAACGATAGAGTTTTGTCAGGAGTTGGAACTTAGTCATGATTCTGATAGATCAGTTAAAATGTCAAACTTTCGAGAATATTATCCTATAACCATTTTCTTTTCAATGATGAATTCGAGTAGTTTATTAGTTTGATCTCTTAAAGATATTTAAGTAATACTATGTCAATACTCCTTGGTTTTAACTGACTCTAAAATTTGATGGAAACAGTTTTTCTTATAATTAAAGGGGTTTTCAATTCATGGTATTGCGTAAAGTCCTGATTACTCTCTGCTTCCTTTTTTCAAACAAAGACTTGTCTACGAGCATACGCAGGAATAAATTTCGAAGAGTTCTTTTCAATGTTGAAGTATATTTTAATAACTCGTTGGCCAAGAAGTAGTTCTAATGATGACGATGGTGTTAGTTCATTTCTGAAGAAGTGCAAATCTATGCAGTACACATCATTGGAGGTGCTCAATAATGCTATGGATTATGAACTAACTAGTTTGATTGAAACAAATTTAAAAATATTTCAAACCGCTTTAAAAAATCCTCTCCTTTGGAGGAAGTATTATACAACAGACGTTAAGACATCTACTTGGATACGTATGCATGATTTTTGTATGGTAATACAAATTATCAAGGAATTTGTTCATCATGAAACTGTTAATACTCTACAACTTTGTAATGGTGTTTTACAATCATTTTGGAGTGGTCTTTAACTATATGTATATATAAAAAGGCGGATTTCAACATTTGCCAATATTTTCAGATTTCATTTATAATGTATTTATTGCGTATTGTTCATTTCATACTTTTTGATGCTTTGGTCACTAATATTTTCAATAGCTTATGTGGATTTACTTATTGTGAAATAAATTAAATTTCTTCTTTCTGATGAACGAATGCGCGTTGTTCTTCATTATCCAACATCATCAATATTGGCTAATTTATTGCTTGTTTTCGGTCTTACATACTGAGGAAAATTGCCTATAAGTGTGATTATTATTTGTCTAGTACCTAGGATTTCCACAAACCTAAGAGTGCAGTCCTGGCGATTTCCATACATAGGTTAAATGTTGCTTTAAGGTCAATACTATAAGCTGTTTTAATTCTATTGATATAGAGGTGCACAGTTGTAATCTTCCTTCTACTCTAATCCGAACTTGTGGTGCTGACTCTGAAGAGTATGTCTCGCTATTTTCAGCTTAATTACTTTCTGTGTAGGTATATCCACACACGTAAATTGGCAGATACAATTTTATCCTAAATATGGTTATTTTGAGGGCCACCACATGTGTGTAAGGGGTTGTCAACATTTCCGAGCTGCCTACAGTAATGGGAAACTTCAGGTAATTGAAAAGGAAACGGGGTCGGTGATGGTTTTGACGATCTAAAATGGGATGTGGCGTAATTATTTTTACGATACTTGACCCTATATGGAATAGCAGGTTTTATTTTCTCAATAACGAGCAACCTGCCAGCTTAATATCTTGGACGATTTTTCGGCTTCATTCATCTCGATTAGTTAACTCTGTGTAACGGTGTGATGTGTACCTTTTTTTCGGGAGAACAAAGAATGGCTTTAAATGTTACCTGACTTGTACTTCAGCGGATGCACATCTCTAGTGTTATCCCCATAACAGATACATTTCATAATTTTGGATATACATCTCATTAAGTCATTTTAATATTTCAAAGAACAAAAGTTACTAGGAGTTGGGTATCGTTTTGTGTAAGTAGGTTTCCTGCAAATTGGTCTTTTTATTATGACTTTTGCCCTTGTCAATTATCACGACAAAATCGCCAGTCAGAATACTGACTTCTATAACCTTGTTACGAATGGCGAGGTATCGAATGGTATAGACGTTCTCATTGAACGTACCAAGTAGTTTAAGTGATATTTGTGTGCATTTTTCCTGCTTTTCGTATCTATGTCTCAAGTACATAAAGCGAAACAAGGTTATTATGCTCACCTGACAGTCATTAATTGGTTTATCCCAAAATGGCTAAACAATAATTAGAACAATCTACGGATGTCTGCAGCGTTATCGAGCACAGGTTCATTTATAGATGGGTTCATGTACATAGTCCATTCCTCTTGTAGTCTTAGCAAAATTTATTGCACCAAACCTTAAATGTCGTTTCGGGCTTCTGAGTTCCGAAATATTAGGTTATTTAAAGATTTTCATTAGTCGTCTTTAGACAAATGTGCGTTTCTTCTGGTTCCATATTTCTTGTTTGTAAACAACTTGTAATAATTTTTTAGCGGTTGTTAATTACAGGGAAAATGTTAGAACCAAATAAATTTTGTTGTGTTAAATTCTGATGAATTTTATTAAACGATTTGTAGAATAGGTCTTATTCATTTGCGAAAGGACAACGAATATATTCTGAACAATAAATATCGACTAATATCTCGTTTATTCACTATCTAGGGATTAGTTTGACTAACATAGCATCCAAAATACTAGCCTAATTAATTATCGGGCGCCTAACCAAGACTCATGAACTGCAAACACGAGAAAATCAGGTTGACTTCAGATCTTGTCGTGGCTGCATAGACCGCATATTCACGATTCGTCAGGTTCTAGAACACAGACATGCTTATCAGCGTCCGATAATAGTTTTTCTTGACTTAAAAGCAGCATTTGACTCTATAGACAGAGGTTTTGTGACAGTGTCTGTCATCGAAAGGGGTACCTCAGAAGTATATAAACCTTGTGAAGGCTCTTTACTCGAACACTGCTAGTCGAGTCAGAGCTTATGGCGAATTATCTTCTGATTTCGCAACCTTTAGTGGTGACCGATAAGTCTGTCCACTATCTCCATTTTGTTTAACTTCACCATAGACCTACTGATGGAGATAACATTCTCGTCGACTGAATTTTCGGGCATTGATCTCCTTCTAGGAGGTTTACATATCGACTTAAAATACGCAGATGATACAGTCCTGTTTGGAGAAGACGCTGATAAAATCCGCAGTCTTTTGGTAGTACTATGCAACCATGCCAGGAAGTTTGGAATACGTTCCCATCATCTAAGTGTAAGTTATTGCTTCAAGACTGGCCTGCGTCAACACCTGAATTAAGGATAGGGAGTGAAGTAGTCGGACGCGTCGACAACTTCACTTATCTTGGAAATCTGGTCAGCCGTAATGCGTTGGTGTCCGATGAAGTCGTTTCATGGATTCAGAAAGCTCGTTTGGCTTTCGCCAACTTGCGTTACCTATGGCATAGGCCAGATATCCGTCTATCAATTAAGGGTCGAGTATTCTGGGCGGCAGTTCTTTCTGTTCTACTTTCTGGCTGCGAAACGTGGCGATTAAGGGTAGAGGATAGTCGTAAGCTACTAGTATTTGATCACAGATGCCTTAGAAATATTGCTCGCATCTGCTGAGATCACTGGATAAGTAATAGTGAGATTAGATGCAGGGTATTAGGGAATGATGGTAAATCAATTGATGATGTTGTGAATCTTCATCGACTGAGATGGTTGGGCCACGTGTTACGTATGCCTGAACATCGGTTACTACGACGTGCAATCCTAACCGGTGTTGGAGATGGTTGGAAGAAAGTTAGGGGCGGCCAAATCAAACCGTGGCATCGGTACTTGAAGTCACTAACTTCTAGTCTGAGCCATGTTGGTAGATGCAGACTACTTGGTTGGGGTCCGCGTGACTAACGTAACCAATGGTGGGAGACTCTTGGTGATATAGTTAAGAATCGATCACGATTGCGTCGGTGTATAGACTCTTTGTCACTCCCCTTAACCATGATATTAGAACTACTTTATGCCTTTCTGCGAACTAATTCTTTCTTCCTGTACTATATCCTTATATGCAATCTTTCTTTTATTATTATTATTACCACTGAATTAACTACTTCTATGAATCCGGTGTTCATCTTGCTGTGCTAATGCGGTTGGACAACTTGGACCGATTGGTACATGTGCCTGGTCCTACGTTGTAGCTAAGTGACTAATTGACTTATTGACTGATCTGTTTGTGTAAAATTATTGCACTATTGTATTATTTGGAGTAAACCCAATGGTTTTTTGACAAAATAGTTTTCGGCATCCGTCCCAGCTAACAGACTTGTAAGCAAATGTCATATTACAGCCGAAGAATATTATCAATCGTTTTAGCTTTTGTCAAGCTGCAGAAGATTACAATTGGTCATTGAAATGAATAAGTAAGAACGCTTCTCCTAACTCCTGTATGTCTATATGTATATTCAAGAACACAGTAAGTGATGTTATTTTGTTGGTGGAATTCATGAACTAACTACATATACTCTTTCTGCCTCGTACGGTGTAATGCTAAACGAATCGGCGTATGATAATTTCTTAAACTGTCTTAATAAATGGTTGTGCCAACAATTTTTTCTCGTAGCTTCTTTATTTGTCTTGTGATCTGGAAATATGACTCATAGTGTTGACGTTAAACACGGTGTTCAACTCTTCAAACTACTGTTCCTGCGTTTGGAGCTGATTCACTTACTAACTCCAAGTTTTTTAATCCTCTTTGCCATTATTAAAAATTTACGAACAGTCTGTGTTTTTAAGCGTAAACGCGAAATTTTGGGTTTGATCGGAGTGTAAGTCACCGACTTAAAATCGAAAATAAACATCGTTTCAAAATTCAGAAATTAACTGAGTTTATTATTTATTCAACACGATAATTCATAATATTGTAAATTAATGATAATACTTGATCATTTGATTCATGGAAAACCATCTACAAGTCCTCTTTCATGATATCGATTTTAAGAAAACTTACTATATCAATAAGTTGCTTAAAGCAATTTATTGTGTAGTGAACGAGAACACAAGTGGGGGACAATCAAATGTATTTGTACACAAAATTACAGAACACCTTACTAAAATCTGAGAACCATACAGTAAATAATTGATAGGCAAAATATCAATCAATTGTCTCAAACTTGAGTGTTTCTTTGCAAATGTCAATCGTTCATCCCACATTTCACTGTTCCTTCATTTTCATACCAAACACTTTCTGTTCCCATTCTCTCCTCAATCTTCTGCTGCCAGATATTCTAATCCTGATTCTCATTATATACTACTTATGTCGATATAAGTAGCACACACACCACAATTATCAGATTCAGATTCAGATTCAGATTTGTGTGGTAAGGACAGAAGGCCTACAGCCTATGTTATTCCTTTTCTAGTATGCTTCTGTGAGTGTCCAGTCTTCTCTTGAAAGAGTCAATTGAAGGTGCGGACACCACTGCTTCAGGCAGCAGGTTCCAAGTATTGATGACTCGGTGTGAAAACCTGTATGCCACGGGTATTTTGTTCGTTCTTGGCTTTTCTACTCGCCTGCTATGTCCTCTGAGGTGTCCCGATCTAGTGGGAAGAAAAAGAGAGAATAAGTTAGGTCCGAAATCATGTCTCAATATTCTGTACATCAATATTAGATCTCCCCTTAGTCTGCGATAGGACAGAGTAAAGAGGTTCAGTTTTTCAAGCCGCTCTTTATATGATAAACCCCGGAGTTCCGGAATCGCACGCGTAGCTGCCCTCTGCACTTTTTCTAGTATGTCTGAGTCACCTTTTAAACAGGGGCTTGCAGCCTGAACACAGTTCTCTAACTTAGTTCTCACTAAGGATGTGTATAATGTGGTGAACATGGTAGTATCAAACTTAGTGAATGTCCTTTTTAAAGCCCAGAGGGTTCGAAACCCCTTAACCGCGACCT